AACAGTCTTCCAAAGCTTTGCCACAAAGCAGTGGCTGTCTCTTATACACATCTAGATGTGTATAAGAGACAGCCATGAGAGGGGAGTGAGGGAGAGGAGAAGGGGTTGGAAAAGGGATCGAAGAGGAGGGAAGGAAGCGAGAAGTCTGCAAGAAGATGAAGGGGAAAGTTGAAGCTCGCAGGCTCAAATCCCGGAGGATGCTAGTGAGTATGGAAAGAGAGGTGAGGTAGGTGTGTGGTGTGAAGTTTGTGGCATTGGGCGGGGTTGGTGTGTTGTCCAACGTGGTTGGGGGATAATCAGATTTAAGTCTACAAATTTGGGTGTAGCAGGGGAGCTTGGCATCCTCCTCTTTTTTGGGAGGGTGCCTCTTTGACATGTTTCATGTTCTCGCACATTGTTTTCGCTTCTTTACAGTTTGCATGAGGCTCCTGGCTGATGACCAGCACGTCGGTTGGTGCTGATGTTGTGAGTGTGGAGGTGGTTTTTGGGGAGCATGGGTGGTAATGAATGGTTGCTTTTTGAGTGCGAATGCTGTGAAGCTGTTAATGTGTTGGAGAAATGGGTGCCCAATTATCCTTAACGAGAGGTTCTCCTCGATTTACCTCTTGGGCCCACTTTTCTGTGCCTCTATGTACATGGACTTGTGAAGCTGTTTTCCTGAGCGGACCAGTGGATTGCAGCATAATCTGTTCAGTTGTCAGATGCATGAGTTTTGGAGCACGTACAGTCCGATTCTGGTCCATTCCGTTCCATTCCGCTCCGCTCTGTTCCGTTCCGTTCTGTTTCGTTCCGCTCCGTTCCGTTCTGTTCCGTTCCATTCCATACCGTTCGGTTCCATTGTGTCCTAGTTCCTTGCCATTCCTTTCCATTCTGTTCCGTTTCTGTGTCCGTTTCTGGTTCCGTTTCCGTTTCCGTCTCCGTCTCCGTCTCCGTCTCCGTCTCCGTCTCCGTCTCCATCTCCGTCTCCGTCTCCGTCTCCGTCTCCCGTTTCTGTCTCCGTCTCCGGTTTCTGTTTCCGTCTCCGCGTCCGCTTCCGCTTCCGTTTCCGTTTCCGTTTCCGTTTCCGTTTCCGTTTCCGTTTCCCTTCGCTTCCCTTCTCTTTATTGAAGTTTGTTCCCTCCTGTTCCATGCTGTTCTGTCCCGTTCTGTTCCATGTGTTCCATGCGGTTCCACTCTGTTATGTTCTGTCAGTTCCTTGCTGTTCCGCTCGGTTCTGGTCCATTCTGTTGTGCTCCACTCTGATTTGATCTGTTGGTGTTGTGTTGTGTTGTGTTGTGTTGTGTTGTGTTGTGTTGTGTTTTCCTATTCTTGTTCTGGCAGAGGAGTCTATGGAAGATTGGGACCAGGAGAAGCTCGAGGATGTGGTTGCAACGAAAGGACAGGAGTATGCCAATCAGAACAAGGGGACAACCATTGTAAGTTACGGAGCTGTCATCCATCCGTACCGTCTTCACTGGAATAGAATGCCTGGTCATTATCGCTGTATCTGGGGCAACTTTCCGTCCAGGTGCGGCCATAATGACAGGGTGTTCTATTTGGGTGAAGACGGTAGTGACTTATGGCTTTCTGTTGAGGAGACCCGCTGACAAAAGTTGTTTGTATTGCAATTTTACACAGCATATGTTCTCTCCAGAATTTTGTGATTTTTAAGATTTCTTTCCTTTAAATATTTTGTGCTGGGGTCGTCGTCCTTGTAAGTGATCAAAGGGCTAAATCACACTGCGACTTCCCTGAATGCATCTGACTGGATTTCCACCTTGACCTGGACACGTTTGAGCGCAATTACGTCCAGAATCCATTCCAAAAAGTCCTATAGTGTGAGTATGCTCTATCTCAAACCTGTGTGCTTCACCTGGTCTCAATCTGATTTCAT